TCTGATCAAATAAACAAATTGATCCCCTTCCCCTGGGAAACTGGCCCTCAGACCATTTTACAGCCGACATTCCGTTCAGCTCAGGCCACATTCCCTTTGCTCAGACCAGTCACCGCCCCGCCGGACCCGCCCGGAGAATCCCCGCGGAGGAAAAGCCCCCTCGAGTCCTTAAAAACTCTGACCCCCCATCTCTGGGTGCGGCACCATTTAGGGGCTCAGCCCATCTACTTTCTAGATGGCCTCATACATTTTTAATTCTTTACCTCTGTCGGCCTCGTGCAGTTCCTCCTTCGCTCCTTCAGCGACCCTCACAGATCCCTGAGAGCGTTAAGAAGAAAACTATCGACAACTTCCGGTTTTCTAAAGACAGAAATCCGGAAGCGGTCCGTCTCCTGTCCGCCTCCGTTCTGTTCCTGCCTCCGTTCCCTTCCGACCTCTGTCCGCTGCCCCCGCCCGCTCCTGTCTCCGCCCCTTCCCCGCGTCGCCCCCCACCCCCGCCCGCGTGGGGATCTCCAGAAGGGGGTGTGCTCCTCCCAAATCCTTGGACAGCAGATTTGGGTTGTTATCCGGTTGGGACGACAGAGAGAGACGTTTCCAGTGACGAGGAAGGAGACGGAGGCTCATGCAGGGGCTGAGTTGCCCAGGTTCACCTCCCTAATAAGTGGTGGAGCAGTTACAGAGAATTCAGTTGGGTTGGTCGAAAACAAAACCGGACATGGAGGATCAGTACTGGCATATGGACTAATTTTGTGAAATAAAGTTGATTTCATGTCATTTGTTAAATGAATCCATCAGACTGATTGTCCCAGTTATGCCCCGATTAATTAATTATCTGTCTAGACTTAGTGGTAAAAACGCAGGTGACAAGGGTCAGCAATCACCGCCTGTGCCCTGGTACTTCAATGTCTAGACAGCTGAGCCGAACCGGAACACAAGAACACACAAGACAGAATTAGTGTGCAATCACTCAGGGTTTATTTACCTATTCCTAGTGGGTCCTAGGCTCCAGCAAAGGCCACCGAAAGACGGACGATGAAGACAGAGTGACAGGCGTCCGCACCTCGTTCAGGCTCGCACAGCAGAGCAGTCAGTCAGGGGCTTGTCCCACGGAGCTGAGCGATGTGGAGTCCTCCTCTCATCAGGCGGGAGACATCGACTGAACAAAATCTGTTGCTTATGTAGCCAGTGGTAAATAACTTGTGTCTCATCCGTGTGGGCCTTTGCTAGGAGCAGGGTGTGTAGGCTTTAAGGGCTTTAGCCGTGGTTCTCAACCTTGACTGTACATTAGAATCTCCTGGGAATCTTCTTAAAATTCTGATTCCTGGGCCACATCCTCCGGAAATTCTGATTCTTTGTTCGTAATGTTGTGACCCCACCCCATAACAAAGAAACAGAATTTCTGGAGGATGAGGCCCAGAAATCAGGATTTTAAGAAGATTCCCAGGAGATTCTAATGTGCAGCCAAGGTTGAGAACCACTGGCTCAGGGCATTCACATCCAGATAGTGGGGCGTTCACCGCATTTTGGAAGTTACAGAGTATTAGGGTTCTCACACAGCAAACATTTCACACTTTAATCATTTCACACAGTAATTATTTCCACACATCACTGGGGTTTCCTTATGACCATAACGTTATTATAACACTGCTGGAATACAACTGACTGTAGATTTGGAAAAACTCGAGTTTGTGTTTACATGTATGCACACATTCCAGACATAATTCCTAGGAAAGCCCTTTCTAAAGCATATTGAAACGAAAATAATCACATTTTCCAAAAGTTTAATTGTGCTTGTTAGCATTTACGTGGAAGCAGGCAATTAACTTTAGTTCTGTTGCATTTCCAAGCAGTTGCCAAGCAGTTGGAGCTACTGGTCTCTAGATGTGCTTATATTTCTAGAGGAAAATAAGTAACATGGAGGGCAGCTCCTACTAGAAAAATCCAAATTGACATTCAATTATAATATTAGAAAAACAGAAATGATCTCACTAAAATAAGGGATAACAATCAGATCTCATCAATTCTGTTTCCACTCTCTTTACCAACTTGTCATTCACTCGGTATTACTGCAAAATAACACCCTTTCCTCTTGTTTTTAGCAGGAGTCGTCTAGGTCAGTGGTCGGCAAACCGCAGCTCACAAGCCACATGCAACTCTTTGGCCCCTTGAGTGTGGCTCTTCCACAAAATACCACGTGCTGGCGTGCACGGACAGTGCGATTGAAACTTTGTGGCCCATGCCCAGAAGTTGGTTTTTGGCCTGGGCGAGTCTATTTTGAAGAAGTGGGAGGTGTTGGTCCGTGGGGCAACAGGAGACTGGCGCAGGCGGGGTGTGGGATACACAGCGCCTGGGAGGAGTGTGCGTGCAATTCATGCAGAAGCTGAGTGAGCCAGTCAGCCAGCAGTCTCCTGGGCAGTGGTTAGTGCTAGTCGAGTCTGCAAAACGCGCCGGTGACAAAAGTACCTACTCGAAGCATAAAG